ATCAACACAAGTCATTTATATAGCTTAGCGGAAGCAAATAGGGAGGAGTTACACTGAACAAGAGTGTGTGAGGGAGCAAAGGGGTTGGGGGACAGTGTGTGGGCTGGTGATGGAGATATTACTAATGATGCAGCCACGCGTTTAGGATCGTGTCTCTGACAAAGTCAGCAGAGGACATTTTGGGCCACGACTCTCAAATAGTTACAAATGAAGGTTGGAGCATCCATGTAGATTTTAACTGCTTCTGAAATACCTTCACCTGACCCCAATCAAGACCTCATGAAGGTTCAAGGTAAATACACACACACACACACACACACACACACACACACACACACACACACACACACACACAGGCAGACGGAACAACATCCTGATCCTTGACTGAGACATTAGACTGTTTTGTGATTATTTCACTGTAGAATTCTTACATGGTGCTCCTTTAAAATTTACTTTAACTAATTTTGTACACAGTAATCGATGAATGTATGATAGAACCTCTATTGTCATTGTCATAGGGCAGCTGTAGCTCAGGAGGTAGAGCAGGTTGTCCAGTAATCGGAAGGTCTCCGGTTCCATCCCAGCTCCCGCCAGAGAATGCTGCTGTTGTGTCCTTGGGCAAGACACCTAACCTACCTTGCCTGCTGGTGGTGGTCGGAGGGACCGGTGGCACCAATCTTCCTTCTGTCAGTGCGTCCCGGGGCAGCTGTGGCTACATTGTAGCTCATTATCACCAGGGTGTGAGCGTGTGTGTGAATGGGTAATAGACTGATTCAATTCCATTCAGTTTATTTATGTGGCGCCAAATCACCACAAGTCATCTCAAAGCACCCCACAAAGAAAACAGTCCAATACAGTTCAGTTAAACGTTTTCTATATAAGGAACCCAGCAGAGTCTTTACAGCAATCCTCATACTAAGCAAGCATGCGGCGACAGTGGAGAGGAAAACTCCCTTTTAACAGGAAGAAACCTTCTGAGCAGGGGTCACCAACCATTGTGAATCTGAGAGCTTCTTCATGGATACTGAGCTCAAGAAGGGCTGCCAAGTTGATACAATAGTGACCTTTGAACTAGAATAGATCAGAGGTAAACCAAAGTTCAGGTATAATCATCATATTTTAATATTTTTTAAAGAATTTGTTTTTTAATCTATACTAATGCATTTGTGATTTAAAAAGTCAGGAACAGATTTTTTGTGCTATTTGGAGGAAGGGCCTGTGGGCCCCTTAAATGGTTCCTGAAGCACCATGGTGCCCGTGGGCACAAGGCTGGTGACCTCTGCACACACACACACACACACACACACACACACACACACACACACACACACACACACACACACACACACACACACACACACACACACACACACACGCACACACACACACACGCACACATTTGATAGGCCCTATCAAATAAAAATGTTTTAAGCCTAGTCTTAAAAGTAGACAAGGTGTCTGCCTCACAGACTAAAGCTGGGAGTTGGTTCCACAGGAGAGGAGCCTGATAACTAAAAGATCTGCCTCCCATCCTATTTTTAGATATTCTGGGATTCACCAGTAAACCTGCAGCCTGAGAGCGAAGTGCTCGGTTAGGAACGTATGGAACAATCAGATCACTGATGTATGATGGAGCTTGATTATTAAGAGTTTTATATGTGAGAAGAAGGATCTTAAAATCTATTCTGAATTTAACAGGTAGCCAATGTAGGGAAGCTAAGACAGGAGAGATATGATCTCTCTTTTTAATTCTCATCAGAATGTGTCTTAAAGTAACAGAAGCACTCTAAAATCTCAGATAATTTTCTAAACTGTTCTGTCGGTTTATTAACCGTTTCTGAGACGAGTGACTGTCTGAACGTCGCATGTGTTTCTATCATTAAGCAGCGAGGTGTGTTGAAGCGGTCATCAGCTGATCGGGAGCTAAAGAGGAGGATGTTTAAGAGCATCAGGGGCAGCGAGGAACGAGAAAATTGTGATCAGGCTGGAGATCACACCAGATTCGCTGCTGCAGGCGTGAATCTGCGGGTCTGCAGCATCCCCGTATAAACGTGACAGGGGGACTTTCCATGTAAGGAAGGTCAACTAACCTGTTCACCGCTCAGGCGTCAGATCATTAATTCCTCTCATGATCTTTTATCTTCCCATCATCCTCCAGTCATCCAACTGGAACCATTTAGTTCTTGATCATTCTGAGAATATGTCCTGCGTGCTCCGGTGTTAAAAGGTAGTAAATTTAAGTCCTAGATCTTATTTGTGCCTGTCCTACTGTCATTTTTAAGGATTTTTATTTATGCTTTTACTACATTATGAGTAGAAATGCTAATAAAAACACCAAATTATACAAACAAGTGAAAATGGAAACATTAGAATCTGGTGCAAAGTCCATTTATTTCAACTAGACTGAGAGACAATATAAAGGCGCAGGAACCCTATGCAGGTGTTTTCTATTAGCAGTTATACATTTTAGTCTACTTGGGTCTTCTTTCACACACACACAGTGACATTTGAATAACTAAAATGTATTTGTTTTAGAAATTAAAAAGCTTTAGTTTACAGTAATATAACCATGTCTAAGGTTTGATTCTTTGCCTCATTATTTTTAATTTAAATAATTGCTTTGAGGGCACATTTACCTGAATGATTAAAATGAGATTATTAAGATTAATTAATCAGATACGTTTTTTTATCAAGTCCCACCCCAGTTTGCATGATTTTTATTAGCTAGCCTCACTTCCTCACCAGTTTAGCAGCTTTTAACAACAAATTGACTGATAATAGCGATCGTATTAGTGTGACAGGTGATCATGATCCTGCAGACTACGGTTGGATTGTCCCTTTAGCTACTGTCTCTGGAGTCATTTTGCTTCTTGGCGATATTTGCATCTCTGTACAACAACATCCTGACTTGTCTTTTGTCTTGTTTATGTCACACTTACGTCACATTTTGGTCCATATGCTAAAGACTTTAAGTTCTGGTTTTTTTCCACCAGCAGCGGTTGGAATGGACTAACGACAGGCTGATTAGGGTTACCTCCTGTTTCTGAAGGAGTGAATGAAATGTTCGCGGTGTTGGAACTGGTTTGTTCTGCTGGATCCGGGTGTTATTGACTCATGCTGATGAGGTTGTTATTTACCCACCAGTTTCCCTTTATGGATTTGACCAAAGTGAAAATGTCATGCCTTTGAAACTCACTCTAGCACGGTGAGATACCTATTCCCATGTGTCTCTGACTAAGGTTTGTTTAGACCACAGAGCTGCATTCAGGACCAACACGTTGTGTGTGTGTGTGTGTGTGTGTGTGTGTGGTGTTGGGAGAAAATCAGGGCTCACTAAAACTTAACCAGTTACTGGTTGAGCCATCATTCAGAAAGCCTACACACCAAAACAGGGTCTGAAAACAACGCAAGTTCTACTCAAACTTTGTGATTCATACAGAAAAATCTAATGAGAACATTTCACACACACACACACACACACACACACACACACACACACACACACACACACACACACACACACACACACACACACACACACACACACACACACACACACACAGCTGAACACACGTTTTCATTGACTTTCTGATGTATTAATGTTTCCTGCAATAATTTGTCTGATGTGATGAACAATATTTACTCTAAATGTTCCCTTAGATCTGAAATACTCAGTGGCTGTTGAGCACCATGCAGCTTTTTTAGATGGCATCGATGTTTGTTGCCGTTCCTTGCCTCCATCTTCAGATCTGACTACTTGTTTTTATGTTGTCGTGTTTTTTATGTCCAATGTGAACTCTCCACAGCTCCACCACTCGCAGCTCACCACTGCAGCAACGCAGTGTCACTCTAAGGCAATTAAACGTTTTTCTGAGCCTCTAGTCAGGGGTAGGGAACCCTAGTCCTGGAGAGTCACTATCCAGCATGTTTTAGCCCTTTCCCTGCTTCAACACCTGTTCAGCAGCTCATCAGGCTCTGTAGAATAAAATCAGGTGTGTTGAAGCAGAGGAACCTCTAAAACGTGCTGCCTGTCTAGGACCAGGGTTCCCTACCCCTACGCTACCTCATCCTCCAGCACCTCGATTTTAGTCTCAGTCAAACTACTTTTTCTAGAACAAACGCTGCTAATTCATCCAGTTGTTTCTGCAAAAAGTAAACTTTAAATTGGATGTCCTACTTGACCATCTTTCCTTTCTTTCATTGGAATGAAAATAATTTGTGTCATCAAATGTGACAAAAGGAACAAAAACCAAAGAAAGAAGATAGAAGCAAGTCTAAAGGCTAAATCTGTTTATCTTCATGTCATTATCTTGCTGCAGTTTGGTCTCCTTGAGAGGAATTTCCAAATAAATGAGGATGAATTAACTTTAAGGGAGTTAAATACTCTTCATTTTAAAATGTCAGCTGTTTTTAAAGTGGGTGGCCTCCTGGAACATAATAACACAAGGTGCTAGGGGCTGCATGACTTATTTTTTTTTAAGTCAACAGTCAAGTAATGAAAATTGAGTCGACTTTGACTAGTCATTGCTGGTGTCATACACCTGAAGCGGGGGGGGGGGGGGGGGGGGGGGGGGTCGGTTGGTTTGCTGGAGTTTTTGACAATTAAAATTGCGCCCACATTTTCAAAGTTAAACACATTTCTTTTAACAACGGTAGTTTCTGCTTCAGCCCTCTCCCCCCTCCCCCTGCGCAGCGGCCGTAAACTCACTGATGCGCCTGCAGCCTCTCGGAGTTCCTGCTGCTCTAAACATTAAAATAATTATTTCATTTTCTGTTCCTCACTTCTGATTACCTTCAATGGCGTCTGTTTGTTGCAACCAGCAGGTACAAAAACTAATTTGTTTTTATTTGACTATTTTTCTGTCCTGCCTGTTTATTATCTTCCTGCATCTCCTCTCAGTCCTAAAGAAAAACTGCTACCTGGGTTCATATTCACCTTATGAGTTACCTTTGAACTGCAGTTCTAAAAGATCTACCGACCGCAAAAACAGCGGAGTGCT